ATACAACATCATAGTTTTAACATTACAATAAGCTTACTTTAAACGCATTATGGTACGAAAAATCAATGTAAGTAAAATTGTTTTAAGAGGTTGTGGTAGGGCCCCCTGAAAGAGTTCCAAATATTTACTACAGTATTAATGCCTGAAATACTTAAATTTCCTTTATTTTGCTCACGTTGACAGGATGACTCGCTTTTCCTGATTTTCAGACCTTTGCGCATTCTAGCGCATAGAGAGTTTCTATAAAACTTTATTTTATTTACGTAGTAATTACTCATTATTTCAAAATTTCACTTAAAATGGAAATATTTTTGATTCCTGGATTTGTTGTGGTTTTATAAGTTCTATTTTTTTCCCTTCCGTTAGGGAAACCGTTAACGTCGGTAGACAGGTTCGTTATATTCTTCTGTAATTTTTTATTTTTTATTTTAATTTATTAAGGCTTTGGCAAAGCCATCAGCCTAAACATGAAGTTTAATTATGTTTCTGTAAGATGGCCGCCACAAAGAGGATAGGCTTTAACATTATACTACGATAACACGATTCGGAACATCAAAAAAGAAAGAGATGGCATTATATAGTTCGCATAGCGTTTCTCTTTCCTATTTTTAGTAAGGAATAGACAATATTGGGAAAACATTCGTTCTTTCAGTCACTTTAGCAATAATACATTACTTGGTTGATAGGTTTGGCTTGGTACGAAATGAGCAATATTACAATATGCTTACTTTATGCTTACATTGAAATAAGATTGTTTTTTGGAAAGGTTATTTTAGGCCCCCAGGTCCACGGGCAAAAAGCGAATTCAATTTAAATGTTTCGCATTCGAATTTTATTGCGTTGCGAGTTTGTCGAGATCTTATCGCAGTGCCTTAAGGATGTTACTTGATCAAAAATACGCAGGCTCAAGTGGATACTGAGTAATCTATTGTATTATAATTATATTTTTTTTTATTAAAAAAACACCGATCTCAACAGTTTACTTATCGGATTTTTTATTGGAATTACATCTATTTACCAAGTATTATTGAAATCGGTTAACGAAAAGTGCGTTCAACCGGATTCATCCCCTAGTTTGTCACCCTTAGCGGTGAAATATTTTCTTCCAATTTAAATGAGACTAATAATGAGGTATCCTCTTTCTAACAAAAAAGAATAATCAATATAGCGCGCAAATTCCGGAGTAATAGCATAACATATACACAAAAAAAAACGGCAAAGCTATTGAAGGCTACTCTCAAGATTCTACAGAACGCCATCTCCGAGTGTAACTCCATAGTATTATATGGTAACTCCATACAAATACTCACTACGTTACTCACTATACTACACTGCAACACTTTCACATTCCTTCTTTTAATAAATAAAAATGTTGCTTAGTTATTCTCCACTCTTTTAATTTTGCAGGTTTTTATCACAAGTTGAATATAAATTGTAAGTGAGACACTTATCATCTTGTTACGGATCTCATAACGACGACTCATTGTAGGCAAGGTAGTCTTGTTTTGTAGAGTTGTTAGGAGTTTGGACGGTGTGCTGAATAATCATGGTCTGTATCTGCGCTAAAGCTTTACTTACAGATAACAATGAATATCACGTTGTTTTATTATCATATAATACTCAATTATTTTTTATTAGAAATTACTCCACAAATTTGTTATAATTATTAATACAAAAATCGAACACTAGGAAAAATTCATTCGATCCTGCTGGATCATAGACATTTTAGTCTTTTTTTAATTATACCAATTGACAGGACGAACCTTAGACTATGGAAACTTATTTTTTTCCATCCTCTAAGGGACGAACAAGTCGTGCGCCTGGTGGTAAGCAACACTCCTGTAGTTTTAAATCACAAATATCTAAGGGGCACATAAGTTGACAAGTCCCGTGTGCCTGTAATTTCACAAGAGCCCTTAAACTTGAAAACTGAAACGCGATAATGCTCATATTACTGGCGGCAGAAATAGGTACGGTGGCAGTACTGTCCTGGACGAATTATTTCACGAGGACTGGCCCTAAAACTTTTTTATTGAGTATTGGGTTGTTTTCTTTATGTAAGTTGTTAGCACATACTACTTATTGTTCGTTTTTATTTAGTACTTGTGCTTGATTTGTCTGTCTGGAACTATAGGTGAATTACAGGTATAGGTACAGATAGGCTGCATGTTTTTATTCGCTTTTATAAGTGTTGAAAGATGCTGTTGGTTTTACTTTAATAAAGAAATAAATCAGCCTTTGTGTAATAAAACCACATGTGATCACACATCAAAGGTGTTTTACCACATAAAAGTCTTATAAAGAATACGAAATACATGATCTAATTTCATCTCTTCTATTTAAGCACAAAATTTTTTATAGATTATAGAATCTTTAAACGGCTCTCTAGAAAGTTGTCGCTTTGCAGATATGGCCCTTGGGTTAGACCCTTGATATGACCCTGTACCATGATATTGAAGAAATTTGGACTGTATCGTAATGAGTGTTGTCCCTATCTACTGACCCGAGAGATAGGGTTTTCCGGAGAGACTACGGGCTCGACGGTAAGACCAGAGTACGGCGGGCGTCCGGGCCACCCCTAGCCAGTTATACGTCTTCACGGTCGTCTCTGGCGGACCCGGACTTGGGTTTGGACTCGCCGGGGTTTGTAGTTAGCTGCAGAGACGAACACGTTCGTCTGCCCCAATAGTGTGTGACCGGGGCGTTTGTGTCGCGCGCAGCTGTTGAGGGCCTGAAGCGAGGAGACGCGCGGGGCACGTGAGTTGCCCTTTGAGTCGGTGGCTATGTCCGGACATTATCGCAGGACATATATTTCAAACTTGTAATAATAATTACTCAATCTCCTCATATGAGGAGATTTGGTAGTCGGCTTAGAGTCGGCGTCTCAGCGGTGGCAACCGTTAGTCGTGCGGAGCGCGACAGGAAGTGAGCGTGCCTACAGCTCCGGTACCTATCTGGCAAAATGCCTCCCGGTGCTGCACGTGCCCCCGGGGCGGCTCACCTAAGGCCTTACAGAGAACCGGATGAATTACGTGCAAACGTGCTGATCCGGAGTTAGGACCTGATTTAGATGGTCACTGTGCGAGCTCGCTCGCACAGGTCATGGTGCCCTTCCCGCGTAACCAAGAGGTTGATGGGTCAAGACTTATGTAGAATGATATGGGACTGTAACGTACATCATACATCAAATATCAATGGCTGTATCAAATAATGAAATGAAATACATTATTAATTTCTACACGACTATATATGTATAGTAGTACATTTTTGTTACATTGTATACCTTTAAGTAACGTTTAATTTTGGTAGCATTAAATGGATTAAGGTGAAATAATAGGTAAGTAACATTTTTGAGCCAATAAGTAATTTACGACATAGATACATCTGTGGTGATTTACTCTTATTATTAGTGATAGTGGTACGTTACCACCTCGATACGATAGTTATCGTCATAAAGTTCTTTCGTGCATCCTGTTTACCAACATGCACATATGCGTTTCTTATATCAATACCGACCGTACTGTGCGGTGACCCGTATCAAGTTCTTGAAACGAGATATATTTATTTTTAACTGACTTCAAAAAAGGATGCTCTAAGTCCGACTATATTTTTTTAGTGTGTATGTTACGTGATTACTCCGATATTTGTGAACCGATTTTGCTTAATTTTTTTTTTCTTGGAAAGGTGGTATCTCAGCAACCCCAATTTAGGGCATGAATCCGGTTTATTCCATTTCAATCACTTTCCGTTAATCGATTTCAATAAAACTTAACAAAAAGATATGCTATTTAAATAAATATATTGAAAAAAAAACACAAACTATTGAAGTCGGTTTTTTTAAATAAAAAAGTTATAATTATTTTAATTCAGATGTCTAACAATCGATTTAAAGTTATTACAGTAAATAAATTGAAACCGGTCTTTATACTTCGCCATTTTTACGAAACCCGTAACTGCAAACCCTGAACATCAGCCCTAGTAGCGAACACTTTCCGATAGGATTAAGGTTCATTCGCACGCTCAACAGTAAAGTGACAAAATTAATAACTTTTTTTGGGAAACTAAAATTTTGAACGTCGTGTTCGTCGCGGAAATAAACGAATGCACAAGCTAAACGCGTCTCTTCCACACGAAGCCCTACAGGAACTTTGACGAGTGGTGTCTATACTCCTTATTTAAACTAATTATTGTTTGTTGCGATTTGGGGAAATTAGGTTTATTGAAAAAGAGGCACCTATCCTACTGCTATCTATCCCGGTTTTACCCTGTGGACAGGCGTATCACTTATTACCAGGCGTACGACTTATTCGTCTCACATCACTTGATATTAAACGTAAAAAAAAGATTATAGTTAGATTTTTTCTTAACTTTTCTATTCTTGGCTATCCAGCTATGAGATATAAATAAACAATAATATGAAAATAGTAGAAGAAATATAGCTTACATAGCTGCTAAGTTATTGATATATAGTTACTTGTATAATATACATAATACGTTATTTTATTTAAATCTACTTTGTCCGTTTTCAAACCTATGCTTAGAAGTACTATGGCATGTAAATCAAATCGGCCGGTTAATTCTGTGAATGTCGTCATACCGATTAGGATCTTTTTACATGATACCAATATATAATAGGTATGGTACAACAACCGGCAAACAATCCAAGGACAGGCATAAAATTGTAGTTTTTGAGATAGAGCATAGTAGTTTTGCAGTAGAGATACCACTATGGAAGTGGTAGATACCTAAACGGGCTTGGTAAAGAAACTCAGCACCAATAAAACAAAATTTAGCAAAAGTAATTTTTTTAAGCAATAATGATATAACGAAAACTAGACATCTCCTTGCAATTTTTCGAACATTTCTTTTTTATCAATAAGGAATATAGTTGCTGTATCTTAGTAAAATAAATAAATCGAGATAACGAAAATTGTTGATAATTGATAACAGTTACAATATAAATGTAACGAGGAAAAGTTTATTGAAACTTTTGGAAGGTCTGTGATATCAACGACATGGCGTCCCTGAAAGTCTGGTCACTTCTACTGCTGACTGGTGAGAAATTTAATTAAAAACTATCATCAGTTAGTGGAGGCTTTAGATGGGGACCATCACCATAAATACCACCAGAGGTCGAATGAGGTACATATTGTCAACATAATCTCAGTGACTTCCGAAATTATACATTTTCAAGTTGATCTATCATGCAATGTGAATGAATTAATAAGTAATATTATAATTTATTATAAGAACTACCTATAAGAAGCGAATTAATGAAATGCGATATCTCTTAAATTAAAAGGTGACCAATTCCTAAGTGACAAAATCATTTTTTGAGATGTCATAAAAAACCGTAACCCAGTTATAGAATATTGAAATTGTTTGATGATATTTCAACTGTGCATCGTTAGGGTTTTTTTTTTCATTATGTCGAACACGTTAACTAATTTTAACTGTTTTTAAAAGACAATTTTGTGCTCTATTTTTTGCTATTTAAAATGGTTATTTGACCATTTGTCACTTAGCCACGTTTTAATTAGTGAACGGCAGAATGTTTCATTGACTCTACGCACTGCTGTCCACTGACATTCATAACACATTATAGTGTTAACTAAAGGTTAAGAAGAATCGGTGCAATACACGCCCAATTAGTTTACCCTATCTACTCTACATGTACACTATGTACACAAAATTTTTTACAATTGATTTGCAATTGATTTGAATTGCAAAGATCTTTATCTTGTATTTTTGTCATTTATTCTGCTTCACTGAAATGAAATCTCAAACTTATAAAAATATGAATAGAGATCATTTTGGTAAACATAATTATTATTATTACTCCATTTGAGATTTTTTATTTTGTTTTTGTTATCATTCTGTCACATATTTAAATACACAATTTGTATAATTGGCAATTTTGTCCGGTCCGGACCGATTACACCAACATAGAGACCCAGCTGCCCGTTTCGTTAACGCTTTATATATCGTGTGCGTGAACTAATGACATAACTCATGACTTGATGACAATCCTGGGGTAGTTGTAATACACTTACACGCGAGACAACAACTTCATTCGGTTGAAAGTAATATTCTTATGAAGTTCTTCATCCTTTTCAAGCTGTGGTCGGCTCGAAGAATGTCCCGTCACGCATTGCGGGAGGCGACAGCACCTCGATCGAATACTACCCATCGGCCGTGCAAGTTGACATGCTACTTGCTATCTTCTGGTCCCAGAGTTGCAGTGGCACTATCTTGACTTCCAGATACATTTTGTCGGCTGCCTCCTGCTTTAGTGGGACGTAAGTATTTTATACAATAAGGGAAATGTGTATCATTTAAAAAATATATATACAAGGTCTCGGGTTACTATCACACGATGCAAGGAACATATGTACACCATGTCGACATACCTGGTGCATGTGTTGACGTAAGATCAAGTACTTGGTCTAGTTAGTCGTATCCCACAGCGAAACGAGCATGTAACCCGTGCTCGTACTTTTGCTTTCCTTGCATCACTTATAAAGCAATAACATAGTAAAATAACAGAAGTATGGTAACTTCGTACAAAGTAACACCGTGCGGTTTGTATGTGTGCACGACCGCCGCACGCCGTGTGCAAACACACACATTCGCATAATACTGACAGGCGCGTGTGACGATCACTGTTATGCAACTAGTGCATCGCGAGATTATGCGAATGTGTGGCGCGACACACGCACACACATGGTCCGCGTTGTTACGTTTGTATGGAGTTATCATACTAGTCTTATTATAGTATGGTAATAATCCTCACATTATTATGTTCTCTAGATTGTGATGTAGTCTAGATTAATCTTTATGATCGCAGTCTGTTTCTCCCCCGGTTTCGCCGCGTGAGAGCTGGTAGCAGCTACCGCAATACTGACGGCCAAGTGGTCGTAGTTGAAGAAGTTTTCAACAACCCTGCTTTCGGAGAGAATGGGTATGAAATGTCAAATGAAGATTCTTAATAGTTCTACTACTATATAATGCAAAAGCCATAACTGGTTGTTACCTCCAAAATTTCTCCAAATACTAAGGAGGACCAACCATAGATATAGCCTATATCTATGGGACCAACAATACGAACGTGCGGTATAGTAAAAATTATGAGAATGTCCAGTGCAATTTACCTGTAACCTTGGATCATACTCGTCAGGCGTCCTAGGCACACACGGTGTCCCTACCGATTTTGGTGCTGTAGCGTCCAAGAGCCACACGGCTTCTCTAACATGCAGCTGTGTTTTCTCGGACCATGTAAAAAATATATTAAAAAAAATATTATACAATTTAAAGGAAAATACCAGAAAAAAGATCGCCAAATACTAAGGAGGAC